AGTCCACCCAGAGGCACCTCGGAAGAAAGGCCTGGTGATCTACTTCTGAAAAATCAGCCATTGAAAACCCTATGGAGCACACTTCTACTCTGACACACATGGGGTCACCATGAGTCAGAGTCAACTCAATGGCAGCTGGGTAGAGGTAGGCCCAGGAAGCAGGTTAACCCAGCTGTAGCTGATTGGGAACATTAAGCACAGCGTTGGGCACAGCAGGCGATGCTAAGCAAATGTAAATAGGGTGGCCTGGAGCCAAGCTGCCAGCCATCCCGTAGAAGCTCACATAAGGCCGGCATGGCCCAGGATGGAGAACTGGAAGCAGACCACTCACCTCGGCCCAGGGGGAGGGTGGCGGGAGGTGGGGGCCCGCTGTTGCAACGCTGCTCCCCAACGCAGCGCTCCAGCTCCCTAAGCTTCTTCTCCTCCTGCAGCATGGCGTGCTTCCTCTGCCGCCGGGTCTGCCTGCTAATGTTCTCCTCCTGGCACAGCCGCCGGGCCGCCTCTGCGATCTGCAGCTGCAAGGCCAGCTCCTGCTCCAGGCTGCTCAGGGGGTCCTGAGGGAGGGGCGGGAGTGAGGCCTGGGAGAGGCAGGGAGCTCAGGGAGAGGGGGAGCAGGTAACCCAGGGGACACTGAGAACAGCACTGACCCACTGCTCAAGGACAGACGGGAAGGACACAGCAGTGTCTATGGACATAGAGCGAAGGGTGGAGTGGTGGCAGGTGCTCCAGAGCAAACGTGAGCCACCTCCATTGGCCTGAAAAGCAGGCACAAGGACCGGCACACCAGCCTGCCCCCGGAGCCAGGTGGGCAGGAACCCGAGTAGAACACTTTCCCTCCTGATTCCAAAGGGCTGAGAGCAGGTGAGCCAAGTGGCTGCCCATGGGAAACTGCGCCATTCACATGAGCCAAGCCACCCCCACCCCTTGCTTCTATGCCGAGAAAGAAGAGAGGACAGCCCTAGGGGCCGGAGTAACCTGTCAGAACAGGCTAGTGCCTTTCAGGGCTGGTGACTGGAGATCTTAACTGACCTCCTGCCCACTGGGGACCAAACCCAGTGTCCTCCCTCCAGAGTCCAGCCCTCTCCATTCCTGGAGTGGCCAACCTTCCTCAGGGCCATTAGTGGGTGCCCCTTGCCTGTCCCTCTCCATGGGACATGGGGCCAAGCACCCTTATTAGGTGTGATGGGCCAGGGTGGCAAGGTTCTGGGCTAAGGTACTGCGCCTTAAGGTACTCCCTTCAGACTGGGAGCTGCTGGCTCAGTGATAAACCTTTGGGGAATGAAGAATGTCAATGGCTATCTGAAGTTCTCACCTCCCTGTGCAAGGCCCGTTCGTCCAGTTTGTAAGCAGCTCCAATCCTGCGGCGGACCTTGGGGGCCTTTTCCCCTGCTTTGAGAGGATACTCTGCTGGTAAGGTGCCCGTCAGCTCCTGGGGAGGAAGCAAGGTCAAGCCAGTCCCCTCTCCACTGGCCCAGCCCTCAGCCACCCAGGAGTGGACTGGCCCACTGGCCCCAGCATTATAAAGAGCCTTGTCTTCTGAGAGCCCCTGGTATATAACTGGGCCACTTGCACCCCTGCCTGTCCCCTCCCCCCTTCCATCACTCAAGGCTGCCTCACTCCCATCCTCAGGGCCCCCTCTGCACTCTCATTGCTAAACTGCCTCCCCTTACCTTCAGTCTCTTCCCATTCACCTCTAGAAGAGAGCTATTGTCGTTGTTGGGTGGCGTCAAGTCAATTCCGAGTCATGCCAACCTCACATGACAGAATAGAACTGCCCCATAGGGTTTTCTTGACAGAATAGAACTACCCCATGAGGTTTTCTTGGCTGCAATCTTGTTTTTTTAACTAGTTATAAATTTTTTTATTGTGCTTTAGATGAAGTTTTGCATAGCAAATTAGTTTCTCATTAAACAATTAATATACATATTGTTTTGTGACATTGGTTGCCAACCCTACGACGTGTCAACGCTCTCTTTCTGGACCTTGGGTTCCCTGTTTCCATTCATCCAGCTTTTCTGTCCCCTCCTGCCTTCTGGTCCTTGCCCCTGGACTAGTGTGCCCATTTAGTCTCATATACATGGCTGAGCTACATGTATTATTGTTTGTTTTACGGGCCTAATTGGCTGTAATCTTTACGGGAACAGATCACCAGGTCTTTCTCCTGCGGAGCCACGGGGTGGGCTCAAACTTCCAACCTTTTGCTTAGCAGCTGAGTGCTAACCATTGTGCCACCAGGGCTCCTTCAGAGAGCTGTACTGGCTCTAATTACAGTCTGCAGCCCCTCTGGCTGGGCTAACTCTCCTCCTCTCCTGAGTTCTGTCCAGGGCCCAGGTCAAGGGGCTACACGCAGAGGGCCTCTGTGCACCCTACCCCAGTCTGATTTCCAACATTCCCTCAGGAACGGGGAAGGCCTCAGCCCTAACATCTCAAAATGTGGCTACAGATTCACACCAAGGAGTGGGCCCAACTTTGTGTGTGCTAGGTGGGGTAACCGAGGCTCTCACCGCCTCCCTCAGGCAGAGTCTCCTCAGCTCCTCCAGGCAGGCCTCCAGCCGCTCCTCCAGGGCCCGCTGCTGCTTGCGCACCGCCTGGGTCAGCTCCTTCATCGGGGAGACGGGGCTGTCGGGGCCTGGGGAGAGCACAGTGGCCACTATATCCTCAGGGGAACTGAGGCAGGGAAGCCCCTCTTGGGTACATCTTGACCACCCCCTAGAGGAGCACACACACGTGCCCCCATGCCTGCCCACAGATTAGAGGTTGGCAGCTGTGGCCTGCGTCATAACCATAAAACACCAAGCCTCCTGGCTGCCCAAAGGTGGCTACGTCACAGCTCAGAGGACGGGCTGCCCTGCCAGGCAACCTGCAGTGGGGGGAGAGGGCTGCACGGTCAGAGCTCCTCTCCTCCGCCCTTCTGCCTCTCACCCTCACCCACTGCAATGAACTCCTCCTGCTTCTCTCTCTGTCTGGCTCTCTCTCAACACACACACACACACATGCCTCTTCTCTCTTGTCCGTTGTTAAAAGTAGGTCAGAACAGGCCCACCAGCTTAGGCCAACCAGAGAGACAGGACCTTTACACTGGCCAGATAAGACTTTTTAGTGCTATGAGTTGGAGTTGGCAAACAGGTTGCTAATCACTGTGCTCAGGTAGCACTGCAGATCCATGTTCCAGATAGGACCTCAACTCAGGCCAGGGCCCTCAGGGAAGAAAACTCCACATGTCCTGTAGGCTCTGGCCCTTCCAGCCTCCTCCACCGCCCCCAACCCGCAGCAAAAGCCTCCCTCGCCCTGCCACACACCCCTCCCCCTGCCATCCCGAGGGAGTCTCAGCCTGGGCAGCCTGGGACTCAGGGCGTCAGGCGGGATTCCCCAGCCACTCACCAGACTGCAGGATGATGCCACTGTCTGTGTCGCTGACTTCATCCTTACTCTCCATGGTGGGCTTCTGGGAGGAGGGGGTATAGAGGGGGGAAGGGTGATGCTGCTCCCAGCCTGGACCAGGACGTGTAGGTGGTCTGGAGTTTCCCCAGCTTTTAGAGAACAATAACCAAAAAAAAAAAAAAAAAGCTCTATGTTAACCCCCTGGTTCCAAACAGAGTTTAGGAGTTAGAGGCTTGAGGGCAGGGGGAGTGGAAGTCAGGATAGCACTTCCGGGAGTATCTAAGGTGTGGGTTATCAGTGCTGAGGGAGCTGACAGGAGAGGGCTCCTCACCAGCAAACCCTGTTCGTAGTGGGGCCCAGCCCACTCCAGCTTCCTGCTGGCCCTGCTTCCAGGAGAGAGGCTTTGATGCCAAAGTCCTCTAGGCCCAGAGGGTTGACAGTGGTAGCCACAAGAGCCCCAGAGTCTGGGGAGAAGGACAAGGAAGAGTGAAGAGAGAGGATGAAAAGGAAGGAGGCTAGAGAAGTGGGATGGGAGGACGAAGTAAGGAGGACAGGAAAGGAGGAGGAGGAAGTACCTGCATGGGACAGGGCAAGTGGGACTGAGTGTCCCCAGCCGAAGAACACCCCAGGCATGAGGCACATATCTTGTGCCCCAGGGGGTGAGGGCACTTCAAGAAGTGGCTAGGCTTGGGGAAGTCAGCCAAGGCCCTGGTCTGGGGCCCCCACAGCCCAGAATGCCTTGTTCTCTGGACCAGGTGATTCGCCCAAAGCCAGGTGCTGTTGGTACAGTCCCAGATAGCTGTCTCGAAGACCTGACAGCTCCTGTGCCACCAGCTACGTCTAAGAGACCACCCAAGGGCGAGTCGACCTGGATCCCCTACACCACACAGCCAAGTGGAACCTGAAGATGTGTCTGTGGGGGCTTCCGGGAGGGGGGGCGGTGGTCACTAGAGCAGAAGCAGCCAAGGATGGGGCTCAAGAGCATTTGAGTGGTAGGGGAGCAACAAACCCAGTTGCGTGTCAACCCAACCAGACCCCAAAACAACACCTGCTGCCCACCCCCTCTCTCCTCACTGAACCCACACCCCTGGTCAGGGTCCCAGCTGGCCAGGGCCCGGCAGCTGCTGGCTAGAGCAGGGGTGGGAGGGGCAGGCGGAGCCCAGGCAGGCGATCTGGAAGGAGAGCCCAGCCACCACCTCACTGAGTCAGCCCCCTTGAGCAAGAGTCCAAAAGTCCTTCCGAGAGTTTCTGTCTGGAGCTTATCCTGCCTCCTGAGGGCACAGGCTGCAGTGGGGGTAGGGGTGGGGGCTCCATTCTTCAGCCTTCAGCTAACAGGGAAGAAAAATACACCTTAGAAAAGCTGATCACAAAGCAAGGCAGACAGGGAGAAGGGACTGCAGTCAGCCAAGTTCCCAATAGTACCTGTCTATCGTGACAGAAAGAGCAGGAACAATCGAGAGTTTTTATAGACCCACGTAAACAGCATAGCCTATCAAAGTGACTTGGGCAACAACAGTTTCAACCATAACCCAGAAAGCAGTATGTACCTTGCACTTCGGGGATTCAATTCTGTAAGGAAGTCTAGAGAATGAATGGTAGGATTAAAAAAAAAAAAAAAAAAGTCGTTTATGTGGAGTCTTTGCAAACATACCAAAGAGAGAGATTGGCATATGTTCTGGGGAGCCCAAGGTATTTAGGGTGAGAGTTACCTCAGCACTGGTCACCCCTCCCCCCTATCCCCCAGAGATAAGAACGTGACAGAGGAGAAGCCAGGTCACCCCTCCTCCCACCTGCTGAGCCCCAGTCTTAGGGTGGGCATCCTCTGATCCTCCCCAGAAGCCAAGCTAGCAAGTTAGGCAAGGGGAGGGGTTGATGAGGAAGAGGAAGGCCATTAATTAGTCACACTCACTAATTAATTATTAACTTCCAAAGGATTGCTTGGAAAGCTGTGACAATTCACAGGGGCTCCTTGACTATTACAGAGAAGAGTGAGGCATTATAAGGACAGAGCGGGTGAGGCTGAGCCAACAGCCCCTTTAGCCCCCCTCCCCAGGTCGGCCAGACCCTCACTTTCCAGGGTTGAGGGGGAGGGGCAGGCATTCACAGCGGTCCCAATTTGATGCTGGATCCATGCTGTGCCAAGCAAGGGAAAGAACATAGGCCCCAAAATCTGGAAACAAAGACTTGAATTCTGCTCCTGCCTGTGCTACCTTGGGGAAGTCACCTTGCCTCTCTGGGCCTCCTTTCCTCATACGAACAATGAAAATTAGACAGTGTCTGAGGCCGTCTCCAGTTTCCCAGTCTGAATCTTGACCTCTTATACAATGTTAGGCTGGGCAGGAAACCCACACAGCCACTCATCTGCCCCTGCCGAAGTTGCCCTCCATAGCTGTAGGGGACCTGTCTCAGAGTCCGAAGGCCGGACCCGTGAGGGGCAGTTCAGGTAACACCCCACCCCCTCCTCAACACAGGACTCCCTCCTGGGCCTCCCTGCCCTCCGGGGGTCCCGGGGCTCCTGCTCATTGCCCCAGGACTGAGCCCTATGAAGTAGCCCACCTGGATGAACAGTGCCCCTTAGAAAAGGCCAGAGAGAGAGGAAGGGATAAACCAGTGCACCTTCTCTCAGGGGATCCTCCCCCATCAACGATGTGTCCCCAAAGCCAGGTTCTGGACCTCTCTGTTCTAGCTCATCCCTGCTTGCCCCTTCTCCTGGGGGACCACAGGGACAGGCCCCCTGTCCTGGCCACCAGCTCCCCACATCACCCCTGTGCCCAGGACGGACATGAGCAGGCTTCCCCTACTCCCAGGCCAGCCTGCCCCTCAGCCCCAACGACCACTCCACCTTGCCCTGCCCTCACCTGCTTCTGAGCTTTCGTCCAGGAGCCTGTAAACACCCCTGCTTTCGGGTCAGGGGCCCAAAGGGGCTCGCATGTCTCCTCAGGGTCTCCCAGGCCACAGGCTGGCCACCTTGTGCTCTCTCCTGCTCTCCACACGCTGATGACTCTTCCTCTCTTCCCTGCGCAGTCAGCCCGCCCCTCCCAGGCTGCCGGGCCAGGAGAACCAGGTTACTTGTTATGACTTGAGTCAGAGGGGAGGAGCAGGTGAGCAACTCCTTCCCTGAACTAATCCCACAGTGGCTGTGGCAGGCGGCTCCTGGGCCTCTGCACTTCCGGGGGCAGAGAAGGGAGAAGGGGGCTCCCCATGGAGGAACCCCAGAAGGCAGCAGAAGTCATGTCCTCACAGCTGCAATGTGCTGATCTGTGAAGTGCCCAAGGGCCTTCTTGCTTTGCTTTAGTCACTGCCCTCCTTGTACTTCAGCTTCTCTTTCCGGAAATTGAGGTATGCCAGGCCTCCTGAAGCAGAGTGACGGTTCATTGTCCATGGGGAATACCACCAGGGAATTTATAAACTGGCAGGGATGGTCAGTGCTCTCCCCTATACACAGAAACGGAAACTGAGGCCTGAGTTTGTAGCTTCCAAATGAGGATTAGGAAACTTCAGGCAAAGCGGCAACCGTGGGACTCCACATGGGGAGGCCCTAGGGACCAGAAAGGGCCAGGCTGTTCTTCTCTCTTTTTATTCCAGACATTTTCCCCCAGGTATATCAAAACCATGACTTCCCCTTTTATTGTTTACAGGTCCGTGGGGCACTAACTGGAAGCCCAGTCTGTCCCCTTCTCCATGGGAGGGCCACTGTGACCCAGGCTCTAAGTCCCCAAACACGTGGGACCACAGACCAAAATGGAACTTCTTTCTACAAAAAAAAAAAGCCCTCAGGTCCCCCACCCCCTTGAGTCCCTCAAGCAACCGGGAAAACTAGAATCCAGCCTGTATCACAGCGGGGGAGGCAGGGTTGAGACTGCCTGTCATCTGTCCCCAGCAGGCTGGAATTGGAGGCACCCTGTCCCTCAAGGCTTCATCCCTCCACCTCTCTTCCCCCACTTCCTAATCCTCCTCACCATGAACCCCACATGCCGAGGTCTCTTCCTAAGAGGCTGGGCCTCCCTGGGATGCCTGCATCTCAACATACCTCTGGCTTGTCTCCCATCCCCCAGCCTCTAAAGACCCCCAACGCCTGCCCCTTTCAGCAAAGCCCCTGTGTCTCCTCCCCTTCGGCAGCCCCCACCCCCACCCCCCACAGCACACCTTCACATTCCTGTACACACCCTTTTTCCAAACAATGGTAGCTGGAGTCCTCCAGGCTGGCCACAGTTAAGGCCCCCTTCTGTGGCAGAGGGCAGTGCTCAGGGTCTCAGAGGCAGCAGCCCTTCCCTTCCCCCAGCCCTCCATGACACAACAGTCCCTCCCCACCCCCCATAGGTGCAGCACATTCTTTCAATGTCAAAGAGGGGGGTGGGCTCTGGGCACAAATGGCCCTTCCTGCACCTCGCCCACTCGCCAACTCCGGGTGGGGTAGTGGTGGAAGTTTCTGGAATTATTGCATAGCCTATTTTAAAATGTATAAAATAAAATTAAGAGAACCACTAAAAGAGCCAATTATATTGAAATACAGTTCTAAAAATAGAAAAGAGGGATGTATGTGTCTTTATTAACATTAAATAGGATCTAGCACTGCCGACCTTTTGGTTAGCCATAGCTCTAATCCACGACGCTACCAAGGTTTCCCTTTCTTTTGGTTTTTTAGCAGTGGGTCTAGTAACAATCGTAATGTTATAGAAGTGATAAGTGCAAACACTATTTTGAGGCATCTCCAACAACTGCAATGTGATTTGAAAATATCTGTGAATTCTATTAGTGGTCGAGTCACAGGTACTGCTAGTGCTACTGTGGTTTGCTGCCTGTATGACTGATGGCAATGCTAAATCTCTGTTAAAATGAAAAATAAAGATGTGGTTTTCTCCATATAAATTTGCAAACCCTCTGAATCCTATCCACAGGTGTCTTGGTGCCCATGAAGCCAGTGAAGAACCCCTGCCCACAGGTAATCCCTGGCTCTGAGTTCAGAGGAGAGAAATACAGATGTTCAACCTCACTGTTTGCATTGATCTTCTGGGATTCTCAGTGACCCTTTGCTCCCCACCCAGCCCTCCCACCAAGAACCCCAGAGATGCCAATCCATTGGATCTAGTGGATGGCCAAGTCATCCAAATCACAATACCGGAGGAGGTGGGCACTCTGAAGGCCAGGTGGGGACTTGGAGCTCAAAGCTGCACCCCCAGCCAGTCTAAGGGCCAGGGGACTAATTCCCCAGCCCCAAACATCACAGCATCATCACCAAGACCACCAGCTGGTGAGGAAGTGGGGTTTCCTTGCAAACCTTACAGTACTTGGAATCTGATCCAGAGCCCTCCCCCAGGAGGAGAAAAAGCTCCATCACTTCAGGGTTTTCATTTTCTAAAGAAAAGTCCTGGGTAAGGAAACCCTTCCACTGTCCTGTAGTCTAATTTTTTTTTTTTTAAGTTATTTCTTTAAATCTTCTTCTGATGCACTAGGCTGAAGTTTTTCAAAGCAAGGGTCTAGTTCTACCATCTTCGCATCCTCCATACCAAAAACCCAAACCCGTTGCCATTGAGTTGATTCCGACTCCTAGCGACCCTATGGGACCGAGTAGAACTGCCCCATAGGGTTTCCAGAGTGGCTGGTGGATTCGAACTGCCGGCCTTTTGGTTGGCAGCCGAGCTCTTAACCACTGGGTCACATCCCCCAATAAACCAAAAAAGGCAAACGAGTTGCCGTTGTGTTGATTCCGACTCATAGAGACATCCCCAACAGCACCCAGCAAAGAACAGTCCGGCATTTCTAAAATTTTACTTAATGAATCAATGGTCACACTGCTGGAGACAACAGCGGAGGGGGAAAAAGAAGGGAAATGTCCCGGGACCCTCCAGGCGCGACTGGTGAAGGTGGTGGGGGAGGTGGGAGGGCAGTTCCTTAACTGTTCTCTTTCTGGGCTCTCCTCCCTGGCCACAGGGAAAGGTGTTTGCCTCTGCCAAGCGATGGTGGAGTGGGCTGGGTCAGCACAACTCCACGCTAGCCTGGAATGCGTCCTGAAATCAGACCTCTAGGCTTTCTTTAAAAAGCCCCTTTGTCCTGTCCACCCTGCTCCCCTCCCCCACCGCGCCCTCCACGTCCAGGCCGGCCTGAGACTTTGCTCCTTTTGTTTGGCTGCGTTCAGGCTTCCCGGAACCTGGCCAGGGGATCCACAGGCATGGGGAAGAAGGTTGAAGGAGAAAGGTTGAGGAGTTGGAAGTATGCATTTTTGATAGGTACTCAAAATTCCCACCACCTGGGTAAGATCACCCCATTTCCTGTAGGGCCCCCTCCACTAAGGTTGAAAATCGTGTGTTCAGGGGCTTGATCCCCCCAGTTCACCCGCGCTGGGTCCCCCTAAGTTTTTCCCTTACCTGTCCCATGGAGCTCTGGCGCCGCCCAAGAGCCCCCGCGCCCCGCGCTCCTGCCTCGCAGCTTCAGGACCTGTTCGTCCAGGCCATCTTCCCTCTCCCCGAGTCTCCCCCGGGTCTTCCCTCCCCGGAGGTATTTCATTTAACTTCGGCATTTGCAGCATCCCAAATGTTAAAGATCCCAAGACATCTGTCCCCTGGGGCATACCAAGAACCAGAGGAAAGAGGGGAAAGATAGAAGAAAGGATTCGAGATTCCGACCCAAAAGTCCCAATAGGACTGTACATTGGGATAGTAATGTGTCAGCAAGGTGGGTACGCCGTGGGGAGACCCGCTCGAGGGGGGAGGCTGTTCCATTTCTCCCACTTTCAAACGCCAGAGTGGCCGGACACCCCCTGAGCGGCCAGTTTCCTCAGCCCGGGCGGGAGGAGGCTCCGCTCGCGGTCCGAGTGCCCCTTTTCATCCGCGCGCGCTCCGGCCTGGCTTGGGGCAGTTTTCATTCTAGGAGACCCCAGGGTGAAAGAAGGAAAGGAGCCGGGCCTCAGGGCGCCGCGCCCCTCCCCCGCAGCCCCTCTCCCTTCCAAGACCCGTCTCGCTGGCTGTGCACCGCAGCCCCTGCCGAGCCACGGGCGGGCTGGTGGAGCAGGGATTGCCTCCCCCTTCTCAGGCCCCAGTCTGTTGCTCTTTCTGGGGGCTGGCTGGCTGAACCCGGCTGGTGGAAGGAAAGAAAGCCCAGTCCTGATGAGCGCCTCCTACTGCTTCTTAAGAGCCAGTTTATCTCCGTCCATTCATTCATTCATTCACTGTCTTACACTTTTCTATTTTAATTTGTTCAATAAACACTTCCTGAGCGCCTATTAGTACCAAGTCCCTTCCCTGGAGGATGCCCCAATCTAGTGTTGTAGAGGAAAAACAACATGAAGTTTAGTAAAGCAAAAAAAGTTTTATTCGGCATATATTCAAAAGGACAAAGTGAGAAGAGGACAAGCATGCTGCCAGAGCTAGAATGTCTTCCCGAATCCAAGGAAATATCACAGAACAGACAAATGTGGGAAAACGGACAAGCATGCTGCCGCAGCTGTGTGAGTCCAAAGACCATTACAGAGTCATCGGTATATATTAACATTACAAATGGGCAAAACCATTGAAAGCTTAGCCTTTTCAGATTGCCTAGAAACTGTGATCCTACATTTTGAATTGTCTTTCTTAACAGTCAGGAGGGTCTTCACTGGTCCAACAAATTTCTAGTCACTAAATGCCGATAGAAAAAGATAAGAGTAGAAAGTCCTCTGTGTTGTGTTTGATCGGCTTTATGTGAAAGTTTCCCTAAAAGATATTTTCCTAGAGTATTGTCTTTATACCTCAGGGCCCAGTTGATGTGTCCTTGTGAGTCCTTGTGAGCCCCTGTGAGTCCAGCTCCAGCTGGGTCACATTCTCTATGCTCAAGGAGAGGGAATAATAACTCCAATATTATTTCCTAAGTCATTCCCTCCTCTTGATCAGAGATTGGAGATAACACATCGAAGACCAACACTTGGACTTAGTGGAGCTCCTAGATGGTGGCCATTGGAGGCTCTTTGAACTCACGGTGCTGGTTTTCCACCGGATACCATCTAGTTCTTCACCAGGTTATTAAGTAAGAGTGATGTTTTCATCAATCGCGTTGTTGGAGTGAGAAGACTCAATGTACATCAACATTTTAGCCCGAGGCCTTCTTTGCCTTTTAGGTGTGTAAGACAATACAGGATAAATTTTATTATGCCTAATACTATCAGGATATAGACTAAGAATATTACTATTCCTTGCAACAGTGATCTAGCCCATGTACTTATTTCCGATGGTAACCAACCAAACAAATCTGGTGTTTGTAAGAGTGTTATCATGTGTAACCAAGTAGCTTGCTGTCTAATTCTATGTATATCTTGTCTACAGCACAGACGACACTTTCTTGGACTAATAAAAAAATATCCAAGGTTATTTTGTTATCTCATGTCAGCTTGGCTTATGAGATCAGAACTCACTGTTGTGCTTCCACCGCCTTAGCAACTTTGTCTGCTATTTGTCCCATAGCAACTGACAAATTTCTTAAAGACTGGACAAGTAAATCAATCAGCAACAATATCGGTGACATGAAGGCTAGGACCCAGGACCGGAAGAGGCAAAGCTAAGCCAGGCTGAGGGACAGCAAAGGCTGGGAGGAGGCAGTGCCAGAGGAATCTGGGTGGTATGAGAAGGAACTTAAGGCCACAATGACCGGATGTACAACAACATGATGGCAAAAGAACAGGCAGGTTCTAGGAGCGGTGGGGAACTTAGGGTGTGGACGAGGCGGGAAGGGGGTGGAGGCGCTGAGATAAATGAGGCTAAACAGGCAGACAGTGGCTCAACAGGAAGCAGGGAGGCTCTGTGTGGTTGTCCAAGTTGCACACCAGACTAAGAGAAAGGGGTGATAGGACTGAAAGCTCATCCGTGCTCCACCCCCCAAGCTGTGTTCTTTGGCCAAAGCTGTGTCTGCCTAGAAAAAAAAAACCAAACCCGATGCCAGCAAGTGAATTCGAGCTCATGGCGACCTCATGTGTCACAGGGCGGAACTGCTCCATAGGGTTTCCTTGGTTCTCAGAAGCAGATCGCCAGGCCTTTCTTCTGGGGTGCCCCTAGGTGGGTTTGAACCACCAACATTTAGGTTAGTAGACAGCACAAACCGTTTGTGCCACCCAGGGACCTTTGTCTACCTAGAGGGAGTGCTTTTTCTAATTTGCACAAAGGCTCTCCATGAGCTAGGTTGAGTGAAGTGCCTTGTCGCCTTGTCGGCTAGCTAAGGATTTAAGATTTTTATCCTGAAATGGAAGCATAGCTACTCAAGAATGTTGATCCGAGAGATAACCTGGGCAGATTCACCTTCAGAAGGTGACTCTGGTGCAGTACGTATGAGTGACTGGGGTGGGGAGAATTTGGAGAGAGGGAAACCAGAAAGCTGGCAGTAATCCATGTCAGGAGTGTCGGGGCCTGAACTGATGTTGTGGCAGTGGGGGCTAGGGGGTGGGCGGTGGGGGGGATGAGTGAAAAGCTAGTTAGGAGGTAGACCTGGCCTGACTGTATACGTGATTGCTTAAGATAAGGGCCATGAGGAAGAGGGAGGATTCAGAGGACTTCCAGGCTTCTGGTTTGGGAGTTCAGTTTAAGATGTGTTCACTTTAGGACATTAATGAGAATATCCAGCAAGCAGTCTGGTGGGGGCTTTAATATACACAGATGGTTGGAGAAAGGGCTTGGGAGTCATCACAGAGTTGCAGCCCTGGGCCTGGATGAGATCACTCAGGAAGAATATGTAAAATGAGAGAAGGACCAAGGGGTAGAACTCTGGGGATGTTTAAGGGGTGGAACAGAGGGCACAGTGCCTTCAAAGGTAAGTATCATTATTATTACTCATGTGATGGGCTAATTGATTAAAATATTGATCTGTATTCTTTCTCCCATGGAGTCCCTGGATGGCACAAATGATTAAGTACTCAGCTACTAGTCAAAAGGTTGGTGGTTCAAACCCACCCAGAGGCACCTCAGAAGACAAGCCTGGCAATCTGCTTCCGAAAGGTGATGGCCTTGAAAATCCTATGGGGTAGTTCTACTCTACACACATGGGGTCACTATGAGTCAGAATTGACTCCACAGCAACTAACAACAACATTCCTTCTTCCATGCTCCCCAAACCACCCCGCCCCTTCACTGATACCCTTGCTCTGGATGGGCAGCAGAAGCTTCCTGAAGGTGCCAGTCCAGAACCTACTGAGAGGATGCCAGGTGTCCTGATGGGCAAGGGCAGGAGTGTGGCCTATGAAGGCCAGGAAACAGAGGAGATAACCTGGGATAACCTGGGAAGGGAAAAGACAGTAGTGAGTGCCCTGAGCAGCGGGGACCCCAAGCACCACTCCCCAGCAGGGAGGTGGTAAGGCCTTGGCAGGGATGGGGTTGAGACCCTGGGCCCCAGGCTTCCAGCCTTGACAGATTCCTGCATCCGAAATGTATCCAGGAAGCAGGAGCCCCAGACTTTAAAAGGCCCCGGGCAAGGAGGTTGTCAACTCTCACCCTGCTTCCTGGGCTGTTCCTAAGTCTTCAGGATTCTGCAGGGGGAAACAGAATTTCTGGCTCAGCCCAGCAGCCTGGGGACCCATGACAAAATCAAGTTGATTTAAAGGAAATAAAGTGATCCATATGTCTCATAAATCTAACTTTGTGGGCTGAGATTTGTAGCAATACTATTACCTTCATTTACAGATGAGGAAACTGAGGCACAGAGAAGCTGAATAACCAGTTGAAAGCCACGCAGCTAGTAAGTGACAGATCTGGGCTTTGAAGACAATTCTTTCTGATTCTGCAGCCTGTAAAAAAAACTTCAAATATTTAAAGGGACCAGAAAGATAAAGTGAAGGAGTGAAGTATGTCAGTAAATTGGTATTCCAGCAGCATGCTATTTAGTTTGCAACATTTCAACTCATACTTGGCCTTGGTGTATATTGGGAGGGGAGAGGACCAGCGCAAAGGGGCAGGATGGGGACCACAGCAAATTACAAAACTTAGGCTCTGTCTTAAGGGGGCAGTCACTACAAACGCTGTCACAAGAAAAAGTTCCTGTTGTAAAAACAAAAGCTGGAAATTCAAATTTTTATGTGGAAACCATCTAAGTTGTATTTTTTTTTTTTTTTAATTCAAAGAAGTCAAACAACATGTGTCTCCATCCCTCCAGCTGCAGTTGCTGTCTTGCACCGCATCTCACAGCCTCTTGAAGGAGCACAGGATCTGGAACTGGTTTGGGTAGGGAGCCTGGAGCCTCTAAGAAGCTGGGGCTTGAGAAGAGAAGTCTTGGAACAGAAGCCAGAGCCCTCCCTGGGCTACTCAGCTCGTGCGGGGAGGAGAAGAAGGTGTCGGTTGCCGGGAGAGGCCACTAGACTGCTTCCCACCCCCTGGGGTCGGTTTTCTCTCCCTCTTACTCTGGCTGAGGAGCAAGGGTTCTCTCCTTCGTCAGATGGGCTTTTCCGGGAAGTGGTAGAGGAGTGTGGGAAGAACTTTATGAGTTTTGTATCATGAAAAAGAAGGGGAGCAGCCCTTCTGGACCGCCAGGGCTGAGCTGAGAATTTTGCGGTAGCTGGGCAGAAGCGTGTCTCCACCTGCACCTCCCACACCGCCGTAGAGGGAGGCCCACCCCAGACCTCTCCTGCCTGGTGGGCTCTGTCCTGGCCCTGCCGAGTGCCATATCCACAGGCCCTCAGGCCCA